TTGTTCAGGCTGGCCTGGAACTTTCAATCCTCCTGCTGCTTTTATCTTAGTAATATGTCATAATTCAAAGCTGTGGCCCCTGGTTTTGAGCGCTCAGAAATCTGTTTTTGCAAACAGGATGGAATCAATTCTAATGGTTGCTAAATGCAAAGGAAAAAATAAAGAGTGTTAAAAGGAGAGCCTACAGAATGGGAGGAAATATTTGCCACTAAAACTTAACACCAAAATAAATAAATAACCCAATTAATAAATGGGCAAATGATCTAAACAGACATTTCTTAAAAGAAGAAATTTAAATGGCCAACAAATATATGTAAAAAATGTTTAGCAATTGGGGAAATGCAAATCAAAACTAACTACACTGGGGTTTGCCAGGCACTGTGGCACACACTTATAATCCTAGCAACTGGGGAGGCTGAGGCAGGAGGATTACAAGTTCAAGGCCAGACTCAGCAACTCGGTGACACTTTGTCTCAAAATAAAAAATAAAATGGGTTGAGAATATGGCTCAGTAGTTAAGTGCCCCTGGGTTCAATGCTTGGTACTAAAACAAAAAAACAAAAACTACACTAGGGTTTCTTCTCACTGCAGTTAGAACAGCAGTCTTCAAGAATGCAAGCCCCTGGGCTAGGGTTGTGGCTCAGTGATAGAGCACTTGCCTAACATGTGTGAGACACGGGGTTCGATTCTCAGCACCACATATAAATAAATGAATAAAGTAAAGGTCCATCAACATCTAAAAATATTCTTAAAAAAAAGAATGCAAGCCATAACAAATGCTGGCAAGGATGTGTGAAAAGGAGCACTTATACACTGTTGGTGAGATTGTAAATTAGTATCACAACTATGGAAAGCAGAATGGAGATTCCTCAAAAGACTAGGGATGAAACCATCTATCCCACTGTTTGGTGTTTATCCAAAGAATTAAAGTCGGCATACCTGCATACCCACATTTATAGAAGCATAATTTACGATACCCTACATATGGAACCACCAATGGATGAGTGGATAAAGAAAATATGGTATATATGCACACAGTGGAGTTTTATTCAGCCATAGGAACAAAATTATATCATTTGCAAGAAAATGGATAGAACTGAAGAACATCATGTTAAATGAAATAAGACTCTGAGGGTGAAGGTTCATGTTTTCTCTCAAATATGGAAACTTCAGAGAAAAAAAAGTCAAAAGAAAGAAAAAAGAAAATACAAGTGAGACCAGTAATTAGGGTAGAGGAAAGGGATCAGAGGGAGATAGGAGGGAAAGAAAAGGAGAAGTACTGGGGCACTGGATAATGAAATTGATCAGATTGTGTTATGTGAATGTAGGAATGTCACAACGAATCCCACTGTTATGTACAACCATAATGCACCATTTTTTTTTTCCAAAAAAGATATCTGCTTTTGACAGCACATACAGGAGTTTCTGTTTTCATTTATCCTTGCAGGGCAGAACTTACACTAACCAAGATACATGACATAAAATTCCCATGTCCATTTACCAGTTTCCAGTGAGTGGTATAACTGTCCTGTGAATAGAGACTTGCACTGATAGATCCGTTAGAAATTCTGTCTGTCCACTACCTTACACAGGACAGGGAATAAAGTCAGAACTTTTTTTTTTTAACAAGGAATACATAAAAAGGGAAAATAGATGGTTTGTATATTTAAAAGATTTGTTTACTTAACAAATATTTATAGATCCATGACTATGTTTTGTGTTCTGCGCTAGGCACTGAGGAGTCCACAAGGAATACCACCAGGGACTGGTCTTTTTTTTTTTTTTTTTTTTGCAGTGTGGTGGGGAGGCAGACAATAAACTGACACGGTAAGTCAGTGTCAAAAGTATTCCTTGCAGGCTAATTCCAAGATGACATGGGAAGATTTCAGAGGGTAGGTGAGGGCTTGGGGGTACGGCTCAGAGGTGGTGCTTGCCTAATATGCCCAAGCCTTGGGTTAGATCCCTAACACCCCAAAAGAAGGGGAACTGAGCCTTGGGGGATTTGGGTGAGCCTCCTGTGAGGTGGTTATTAGCTGAGTTAAGGAGTCAGCTAAGAATGGGGAAAAAAAGAGGTCAGTACAGGCAAGGGCAGTGCAGGCAGTTCAGCCTGAGCGTAGCTTTCTAGAAACTACAAGTGGTTCAGCATGGTGGTGTGAGGAGTCTGAGGGTGGGGTGACAAAGCAGCAGATATGGCTCATGGACTTAGGCTTGGACTTTATCTCCATAAAGAGTGGGTGGGGGGCGCTGCAAGTCCTCCGTGGGAGGGGGCAGAATTTATCTTCCCAATTACCAGAGTACAGCCAATATTGTGCATTCCTTTCCTCAGTGAACTGTCAGTGAAGATCTGAGTAATGTCTACACTGTGTTCTGTGTATACACCACGCTTCCTTTACCTACCCCAGCCTCAGAGCATACAGCTCTCCATCATACACTCTGCTCCAGACCCACCTAACTTTCCTGTTTTCAGACTCACCCGTCTTTCATTACGCTTTTATATACCCCACACTCCTGGCATCCCTACCAACCCTACTTTCAAGATTTTTTTTTCTTTTCTTTTGAGATGGTGTCTTGCTATGTTGATGAGGCTGGCCTTGAACTCATGTGCTTAGGTGATCCTCCTGTCTCAGCCTCCCAAGGACTACAAGGAGTACACTGGGATAAAGAAATAAACTCAATGTTCCCCACCCTCTTCCTTGACAGCAGAACATCAATGCTGTATTATTCTTTCTTTGAAACCAATCAGGAAAAACAAACCTATGCACAAATAATTCAGATGGAAGGTTAACTCTGAAGGGTCTGAGCCAGGAGTTTTCTCTCAATCAGTACTACCCCTCTAGGAAGCATGTATGGAGAGAAAGAGTAGTTTTTCAGTGTTACAAGGCCTGGGGTGACACTGATGTTTAGAGAGAAGGGACCATGGATGCTAAATGGCAAAAATGCATAAGAACTCCCAAGTCAAATAACCAAAGCAATCATGGTGCTCCCACGCCCCTTGTCAATCACCACTTTAGGGATATCTAGTGACACATTTCTGGTCAAGAAGCTATGAGTGACCTATTATGAAACCTCTGGGGTGCTTCCCCAGAAACAGTTTCTTCCCAATCCTCCATTTCCATCACTGGCACCTCCATTTTCTGTTACAAAGTCTTAAAATAATTTGGACTTCTAACCCTTAAGGTTGGGGTGACTATGAATTTATATTTGCCCATGATATTCTGATTTTACTCCTAGTCTCCCGGTGTAATTGTTAATAGTGCCCACTTTCACTTCCAAAAGTTTTCTAAATTGCAGGGCAGATTATATGGTGGACTTATTTATTCCCACTGAGTCCTGGTCATGCTTGCAAAAAGTACCTGTAACACAGGAGTCAGCAAACTGACATGCAGGTTGTTTTTGTACCTACTGAAAGCCTTTTTTGGGAGGTTGGGGGGAAATCAAAAGAATACTATTTCATGACCACTGAAATTATTTTTAAATTTCAGTGCCTGTAAATAGTCTCATTGGAACACTGCCACACACATTGTCCTCTACAGCTTCCTCATTACAGGGCAGGGTTGTGTAGCTAAGACAGAGACCACCCACAGATCCTAAATCATCTGGCCCTTTGCTGACAATGTTTGCCATGCCCTGCACTAGTTTCAAGTCTCCTTACTGCATGCAAGCTTACAAAAGCCTACTGTTTGCTTCTTCTCCCTTCTCATACTCCTGATTGCCAGATGATCTCTAGAGGAAGAGAACTGATCTTGCCCCATCCATACTCCCAGTGTTTCCTCCAAAGCCCGACAGTACTGTCCTACTCCTTGATCCTAAACACTACAACCTAGATTTCCAGACTTTGCTCCTCTTCCTTTAAAGCCAAATGGACTACTTTGTTTCCCTACCGGGTTATACCCTAAGCAGTCACTGCCCGTCTATGCCTCTCCTCCATTCCATCGGTTCCTCAAAATTACACGAAAACAGTCACTCCTTCGACAGCCTTCATTCATCAAACCGGGGGGAGGCTCAAGAGACACAAGGACAGGCTAGGGCAGGAGACAGCCTGTCAAAGGAGCCCAGTGCACGAAGCAGGCGTGCCCAGAACGAGGCTCCGGAGGTGACATTTACACTGGGATTTTAAAGATGGAGAAGCAGGCCAAAGGACGTCTCCCAGCTGCACTAAATAGGAATAAGGCTGAATGGGCGAGGAGGAGGCCACCTCATCTCCCCACTTCCCCACGCCGCGGAGACCGAGGTACGAGCAACGAGGAGACCTCTGGTCTGGGCTCCTTTAAGGGCATTCTGCATGAGCAGCCAAAAACCGCGGGCAGCGGCGCCCGGCGCCACCGGGATCACCGATGCCAAGGAGCCCCATCCTCTCCGGGGCCGAGGACTCCAGCTCGTCGCCAAAACTTCTGGGCGCTGCCAGGTCTGCACGCCCACGCCGCCGGCGCCCGGGGAGAGACTCGTCGCCGCGCCTCGCAGCGAACACCACGCGGCGGCCTGGCCCCGGCGTCCCACCCGGGACACCCCGGCGCCGCCTCGGCGCACGTGAAGCTCCCAGGCCGGGCGGGAGTCCGCGGGCGCGAACCCGGGCCCGGGGATGGAAGCGATTCCGGGGCGCACGCGCGCCGCGGGGGAGACTGGGCGGAGCGCATCTCCCGGAGGGGCTGCCGAGGAAAGGCGAGCGCGTGGCGCCCCGGAACCCGCGCACGCGCCGTCGCCTCGCCCCGCCCGTGCGCGCGCGCGGCCGGCGCAGCACCCTTTCTTCAGACCCGCCCCCCTCGTGTACTCAGCCGAGCGGAGGCGCGGACGGGAGCGGGGAAGTGTGGGACGAGGTGGGCGGGCAATCGCGCTCGAGCGCGGCCAGCGCAGGAGGGCGGGGCAGGGGAGAGCCGAGACAACGTTACCCGGCCAGCGCCCAATCAGCGGCCGGCCCGGCCCCGCCCCCTCCGCGCTCGTAATTGGCTGGGCAGCCCCTGGTGGGCGGGACCTGTCGTGGGGTTGGGGCGGGCAGGGGGCGGGGAGGAGGAGGAAGGCGCTGGCGGGCAGTGATGGCGGCGGGTGATGGGGACGTGAAGCTAGGCACCCTGGGGAGTGGCAGCGAGAGCGGCAGCGACGGCAGCAGCGGGAGCCCAGGCGGCGCGGGAGCGGCAGCGGAAGGGGGCGGCTGGGCGGCGGCGGCGTTGGCGCTTCTGGCGGGGGGCGGGGAGATGCTGCTGAACGTGGCGCTGGTGGCGCTGGTGCTGCTGGGGGCCTACCGGCTGTGGGTGCGCTGGGGGCGGCGGGGTCTGGGCGCGGGGGCCGGGGCGGGCGAGGAGAGCCCGGCCGCCTCCCTGCCGCGCATGAAGAAGCGGGACTTCAGCCTGGAGCAGCTCCGCCAGTACGACGGGTCCCGCACGCCGCGCATCCTGCTCGCGGTCAATGGGAAAGTCTTCGACGTGACCAAAGGCAGCAAGTTCTACGGCCCCGGTGAGGAGTGGCAGGGGGCGAGGGGCCCTGCGCCGGCAGGTGCGGCCGCGGGCGGCGGCGGCGGCGCGGGCCCCTCGCCCGGCCCGGCCCGGCCCGCCGCGCACGCCCGCCTCCGGGGCGCTCGTCCGCTCCCGTCCCGGTCTCCTCGCGGCTTTCTCTCGAGCTGAAATTTTCAAAATTCCCGTAGTCGTCGCCAGTCAGGCTGGCGCCCGCCTTTCCTGGGCTTTCCGAGGTCTGGGACGGGTGGGGGCAGGAGGGGGCTTCTGGAGTGGAGACCCAAAGTTGTAGGCCTTGGGACTCACACCTCTCCCTGCTTTCCCCCTGCGTGGCCGCCCGTCTGCCTTCCCCTCCGGACCACTCCCCACGAGGCCACGTTTAGGGACACGTAGTTCAAGTCCCAGCCCTCGGGTCTGTGAAGTCCGGGCGCCGTAGGCAACACCTCGGACTCTTCCTAAACCAGTTTTGGTTCGGAGATGCTTTGCCAGATTAACACTGTCTGGGATGAGGACCGACCCGAACGCAGACCTGGCAGAAGACTGGCAGGGACGTGCGCCCTGGAGTGGGGGTGGAGCTCCCGTGCCCAGCAGGCGTGCCTGTCGGGTTTCTTTTTATTTTGGGTTTTTTCCCCCTTTTTTTTTCCTCCTCTCTCTCCCTCTCTAATAGGAAGAGAAGTATCCGAATACACGTTGATAGTGGTTTATTGTGCATCCCCTTAGCAGAACTGAGGAGAAAAAAAAGTTAGAAGAGCTGTCTGTATATTCAGACCCTCTCTCCATCGGTTCTGGAAGTTAAAGATTTTTTAGAGCTTTACTTTTAGAGACCTGTGTATGTAGGGTAGTTGATTTAGAAGCTCTTCTTTTACAGTGTAGTCATACATTTCAGATCAAGCAAATAAACTTCAGACTCAACCTGTTGGTGTCCATTAAAACTGAGCACGTTGCACATTCTGGTTGTGCAGTGGTTAATACTAAGCTTTAAAAAGATAAGTGATTAGAGTAAATAATAAAGTTAGAGACCTAAAGTGAACTGTTACTGGAAGAAGTACACATCCTACTCTTAAAGTCAAAGGGGTTGGCATTCTGGAAACAAAATTATTTCCTTTTTTATTTAATCTGTTAGTACATGAGATTTATTGACATTTGCAAATATATACTTCCAATTTCAGTGCTTGGTGACTGGATGATGTTTTAGAAGGACTTTGGTTGTTTGTTAATTAGAATAGAAATAAGAAAGGATTTGGGGTCTTGATCTATTTCATATATTTCTTGGTTGGTTGTATTTCTATGTGTATATCTACCTTCACTCCAACCAAGTCACAGATAATTTATAAGGTATTTGCTTCTGGTCCTATAAATAAGAACACCAGATGTCTCCCTACTTATATCAGCTGAAATAGTTAATGCTTTTTGTTGTTTATTTACTTAAGTGCAAGTGGGACAAGAGAATAGGGCCAAAGTACAGTATTTAACAGACCAAGTTAAATGAATTTTTTATTTTAAATATTTACACATTATTTTGTACCTAGTTATAGCTTTTTCCTCATTGGTATTAAAATCTGTTGAAGTGATTAGAAATTTTGTATAGATTGAGCTTTTTAATATAGAATTCAAAAAAGCTCTGCCTTTTTGTGCCATCTAAACTGACAATAAAAGAAAGTATTAATACAAAGAATCATTTAGTCCCCATACATTATGCTTTGGTACTACCTGAAAATAGGATAGAGTCATGGACATATAGTTTGGCAGCCTTCATTGGCAAACGTTCTGTGACAAAAACTAAAAACTAAGGTAAGAGTAGTAGGTCTAATGTAGATTGCTTTTGTGTGGCTTGAGCACTGAAGAGTTCCTCAAAACAGTGAAGTCAGTTTTAGGTTAACTTCCCACCAGTTCCCAAGTTCTGATGAACAGCATAAGAGTGATATTTAGTTATTTTATTCTAAGTATTGGTCAATAGCCTACTAGAGATATTTGGAAGACATTATTAAAAGGAACCTTAGGGTTGTGGTTGTGACTCAGTGGTAGAGGGCTTACATAGCACATGTGAGGCACTGGGTTCAATCCTCAGCTCCACATAAAAAAATAAAGTAAGAGGGGCTGGGGTTGTGGCTCAGCGGTAGAGCGCTTGCCTTGCACGCACAAGGCCCTGGGTTCGATCCTCAGTACCACATAAAAATAAATAAGTGAAATTAAAAAAAAATTAAAAAATAAAGTAAGAATGTTTAAAAAAAAAAAAAGGAAACTTAAAGGTAGCCAGATCATTTTGGAGCTTAGACTGGGTTTATATTTCACATTAGTAGAAAATGTCGTAGCACTTTGCAAAGGTCCTAAAACCAAGTTTCTGTCTATAAATCAAATATAACTTCTAATAATCATTTTTATCCTCAAATAATTTTGTACCAGAATAATTCAGAAATAGTAATACTTATCTGAGAATCTTAGTAACTTGAAAGAATGACCTAAGAGAGCTAGAAAATCTATAGTTTTTATGCCTAGCCAATGACTACTCTTGTTTCACAATCATAGTTTGAGAATTAGATTGTTTTGTGACTTGTTTTTCATGTGAGACATATTTTCTCATTGTCATACATTTTTAAAATTCAACTTTTTAAAAATTATAATGTAGTATTGACAAATGTAGTTAATACCAACTGCTGGTCAAAATGAGTTAACTATATTTGTCAATATTACTTGTAGTAACGGGTCAGGCACTTGGCCAGTGTGTGAGGAAAGTATGATCATGTCACAAACAATGAATATGGGAGGAGAAAGGAAACCAGATTTGTTAAGCACCAACTCTTATCAGATCCATTAATTTATTATCTTCACAGTTTCTCCCTGAAGTTGCTAGGTATTCCTGCCTGACAGATGAAAAGTCTAAGGTTTAGGTAAATGAGCTTGGGTCACAAACATATAATAAATCAAGATGTGTTTGACCACAAAGCTTATCTAAACTAATTAGTAAACTGCATTTCGGGATAAACTTGTAGATAACCTTATTGTTGTTTTTCTTTTATATCCTCCCCCAGTTCTCATAAGGATTTAAAGCCTCAAACACTTTGCACATGGTGTACCTTTGCAAAGTGTCAATTCAGGAGTCTGAGGCAGGAGGATTGCAAGATTGGGGCCAGCCTGAGCAACTTAGAGAAACCCCATCTCAAAATAAAAGGACTGGGGTGTAGCTCAGTAGTAAAGAACTATGGGTTCAATCCCAAGTACTAAATAAAAGAAACACACTTTTGTGGCTTTATGTTGTGCTTTGTGTTGTTCAGTATGGTAGCCACAAGTCTCAAGTGGCCAAATTAAAATTAATTAAAAATTGAGTTCTTCAGTAACACCAATCACACATCTAATGCTCAGTTACATGGCCACTGTATTTGACAGTGCACTCTACAGAATAGTTTTGTCTTCCAGAGAGTTCTGTTGAACTGCATTGATTCTAGAGGTCAAAGGAAAAGGAGAAGAAAGTGCTATTTCTTGAGTTTATTATCTCATTTAAATTTCAAACAGCCATAGAAATAGGTAATGTTCTCATTTTACATTTGTGAAAACTAAAACTTGAAAGATTTTGCCCAAAGTCATATCTATTAAAGAGCAATATTAGAAATCAACCCCAGGTCTAACTGGCTTCATAGGCCATCCCTTTCCTGTTGTTGCATCATCTATCCAATTTCACATGCTTACAGAGTCATAATAGATTTTTTGAAGACTCAGTATTTTAAATAATTTTATCGTCGTTACACAGTGGAACTCTACCAATACATTTTTCTTTTTTTCTTTGGCCACAAAAAATTAAATAAATACATACATACATATTTGGTCTTTTTAATAGTTTATGCCATAGTCTTGAAACTTGGAATATTACTTCTCCCTGATTCCTATGTGTCCCTCAACATATACCAAAACCAAGTCCGATTTGTCTTTAAAATTCTACTGAAAAGAAAATAAGACACCAAAGTACCCTATGAGATACCTAATATTCAGGATATTAGGGAAAGAAGCACATGACCCTTCAGGTGTTTTTTTCTCCTTTTTCAAACTTTATCGCCATTATGTTAATTTTTATTTCATACTTTGGTCTGCAGAATTGCAGTTGAAGTAAGAGTTGCAATGTGAAGATCTGACCCAACATGACTCCTCCTCCATGGGTATCTACCCAGCTGTCCTCCTGGCTTCTTGCTTTGAAGCTAGATAGATAAAAGAATCAGCTAAGTTCTCTGAAGTATTTTATATTCTCTAAAATTTCTACTAGTTGTTTCTGCAACACCTACTYGGTTGTCCCTTCTAAGTTCAGCATCATTCCATTGTTCTTAATCTTTGAGGGAATTGTATTTGTACTGAATAGTAAAACAAATCACAAAAGAAAAGCTTAAGTCTTGAGACCAGAAGATCTTATTCAAGGAAGAAGAAATGATAAAATAGTAACAACTGGAACTAACCATTCAAATTCTTTTGTTATTTTGACATTCTGTGACATATACCATTCCTCCCCCTGTGTCACATGGACATCACTGTACAGCTTTTTTTTTTTTTTTAATCTTTAAGAGCCTGTACCCTGTCTTCCAGATCTATAATATGTGGTTTAAACTCCTCTTTTAAATACCAAGAAGGAATTCCCTGGATTTCATTACAGTGAAACCTTAAGATGTTGAAAGGGAGTTAACTTGAGTTTTCCAACCAAATGTGTCCCTACCCTTAAAGAGTTAATAGTCTGTTGAGACAGGCAGTAAAAACATTTCAGCACATAATTATAATTCATAATTAAATGTGCTATGAAGAAAGTTAACAAGATATATAATAAAGAACAACAAAGGACTTTATTTAGATTGCTTAGTTAATGAAAGTACTTTGTTTATATTAGATTGTCAAGAGAAAAGGGTTGACATTTAAACAAAAACCTGAAATAGCCAACCATACAAAGACTGGGAATGTGGGTGTTGTGACTCGGGATTATTATTCTGATGGCTGTACATCTATACTGAACAAATTGAAGCCATCTAATAC